TGAAAACACTACATTTTAAACTCAGATTTTCTGTCCTTAATTAAGTAGCACATGCTAAACTCAGATTTTTTAATTTACTTAGATATTAAGATTAACAAAATGGAGCTTTTCGGCAAATCTGTTCCTAAACTCTCCAAAACTTATAGTGCAAAAATCTTACTTGCTTTGACCATAATATACATGGGAACAACATTCCCTCAAACTTAAGAGAAACTAATATTATGAACTATGTTTATGGTAGTTAACATTTACTCCAAAAACCAGCCAATAATAAGCATTCTCTAGCGAAGCATGGTAGAACACGCCTATAAACTCAGCACTCTCAGGGACTGAGGCAGGAAGATCCCAAGATCAAGCCCATTCTGGGCTACGTATTAAGACATTGCCCTCCAATAAAAAAGGCATTCTTGTGGGTTTATGTACACTTTTTTTTTTTATGTGTTTAGTACAGGGTCAACAGGGTCTCACTATACAGATTAGACTTGTAGTGATCCTCCTGTTTTTAGCCTCCCAAGCACTGGGATTACAGGCGCGCGCCACCATGCCCAGTCTCATTCAGATCAAACCCCAGTCCCTGTACCTGCCTAAGGTGCTTTCCATTGAGCTGTCTGGCTGCCCCCCCCCCTTTTTTTAACAGTGTCTCACTGTATAATGCAGGTTGGCCTGTCCCTGAACTCACGTAGCCCAGGCGTTCATGGGGATCCTCCTGCCTTAGCTTCCTGAGTACTGGGGTTACAGGTGTGTGCCACAATGCCCAGCTTTTTTATTGATGTTATTTTGTTTTGTTTGGGAAGGGGTTTTGTATTTACACTTTTGTATATGTTCATTTAATGTCTTCCATGTGACTTTTTCTTGCCATGCTATTACATTACAAACCTTTGTTACCTATTTGGAAAATCATCTCTATATCTGTATATGTAAATCATCTGTATATCTATGTAATTGGAATTTTCTGGTTTTCTTTTTTAAACCTGGAAATGGTAAAGTTCAGTCATATTAGTCTTTGTAAATAGTTCCTATTTAGAAAAATGGGGGGCCTGCCCCTTAGCTCAGTTCTCACAAGGGTCTGAGTTCAATCCCGGGTTCCGCAAAAAAAAAAAAAGAGAGAGATAGAAAAAATGTATCTTCATTCTATACATAAAACCCTAAGGCTATAAACAACTTTTTTGCTAACTGTAGTACCAACCTTAAAGAGTGGTTATATAGCATTGTTAGCTAATCCATATGAAGAGATCGGAGAGAGTGGAGTTGGAAAGAAGATTGTTTTTAGTTCTGTTTTAATTTTAATGCATATAATAAAGTTTCCAAGGTCATATCAATCTTTTAATGTACAATTAGAACAGAGATTTAGTTCCTTATAGTTAATCAGACCTTTCCTGTTAGATTTCCAAGAACTTGCTGATTTTTTTCCAGGATTCTTAGAGGAAACTAAAGAGCATGAAACTCTTCAGTCTTTTTAGGGTTATTTAAATTTCAGCAAATTGCTTCTGAATCCTCACCTCTAGATCTCAGATTAAAAATACTGTATTATGTATTTCATTTTTGTCTTTCATCCCATTTGACTTATAAAATTGCCTCAGTTTTTTTCAGACTTTACTTGCACAAGGAAAGATGGACTAAGGAATGGAAAAGCGTCTGCAGAATGCAAGCATTTAGTTGTCCTTCAGCTATTGTGCTCAGGTCCTTTTTCCTGAGTGATCAGAATAACTCAGAATCTATTAACTTAAGGGAAACCCTCTCACCAAGACTTCAGAAAGATTGAGTGCTAGGCTGTGGGAAGAAGTTAAAAATAGTAATAGAAGTTTAAGGGAACCAAGTATTGTGGTGCACATGGATGAGGCAGGAGGATTGTGAGCTCAAGATTAGCTGGGGCTACACAGCAACTTTGAGGGCACATTAAAAACACAGTGACAGGGCCGGGGA